GATTGAGAAGAAATCTCCCTCTTTGAGAATCTATTACATTACTATTTGTTTCAACACAGCAACCATCTTCTATGATGGACAAGCATAAGATTAAATGAGGTTATTCATAGAAATGCAAATGAGGTTATTCATAGAATCCCCACAGTGTGGAAACAGGCCCTTCGGCCCAACAAGTCCACACTGACCCTCACAGCATCCCACACAGACCCATTCCCCAAACCCACCTAATCTCCACATCCCTGAACACTATAGGCAATTTAGCATGGCCAATCCACCTAGCCTGCACATCTTTGGACTGTGGGAGGAAACTGGAGAACCCGAAGGAAACCCATGCAGACACAGGGAGAATGTGCAAACTTCACGCAGACAGTCGTCCGAGGGTGGAATCAAACCCGGGTACCTGGCGCCGTGAGGCAGCAGTGCTAACAACTGTGCCACCATGCCATCCGAAATGTTATGTGGAAACTAGCTGAGATCGCAGGAAAAAAGTCATCTGCAAAGGGGAATGAGGATGTTAAGTCTCCTCCAGATAAGGGAGGTGATCAATTATTGGATTTAATAGGAATGATATCCTCCACAAAGGTCAGCCAAGAGATAAAAGACTTCCAACTGAGAAGTGATTTACAGTGAATCAGAACCAGGTCTACATTTTTCAACTCGAAGTCCTGACAATCTTCCATGTCCAAAGAGAATGCATTTGAGAAGATTTGTGAAGCCTCCAGACTGCCTGAATTTGTGAAGTTAGAGACTAGAGGAAAGCTGGGATGTGGTAAATATAGAAGTCTTTAGACACCCAAATGTATGAATACCTTCCGTGGGGAAAAGGGAGGTCCATATTGTATAAGGTAATGGTTCTGAAAGAGTTCACGTTAGTGATTAAATATTATATCTGGTTCCTGATAAACTTTACATTATTTAGTCAGGCATAAGTGCAAATTGTACCTATTTCTATCATGCAACAAATTGCATCTTTTTAATACTCATGAATGTTTGATCCTCAACCACTGTTGACCCAACAGGTTCTTAGACTTAGTGTAGAAAGTAGGATTAAGGGGTTCTTGTGACACAGTGGTAGTGTCCCTGCCTCTGAGCCAGGCCTGGGTTCAAGTTTCACCTGCTCCAGAGGTGTGTAATAACATGTTGATTAGGGAAAATATCTAGGAAAGAGGAGTAGTGCAAGTACCCCACCTCGACCTTCAGCTGCGAGTGGTTGGTCGCTACAAATATATGATAGGTTCCTGACTCCCCACGCTACAGAAACATCCTTCCTGCATGTACCTTGTCAAGTCCTGTGAATATTTGGTATACTTATCGCCTTAACTACCTCTTCTGGCCATCTAATTTCAGGATGATTGAAATCGCCCATGACACTTTTAGCTTAACATGTTTTTGGATGTGACATTAAACTGAGATTCCCCCTGCCCTTTCATATGAACATAAAATATCCCATACTTGACTATTTCAGAGATGAGCAAGGAGTATTCCCACTGTACTGGCCAATAATTATTTATCAATCAACATCACAAAGAAATTATTTGGTCATTATCACTCCATGGGAGTTTGTTGCGTATGAATAGGTTGCTGTGGTTCCTACATTACAATTGTGGCCATACTTCAAACACTACTGCGTTGGCTATAAGGCATTTTGAGAAGTCTGGTGTTTGTGAAAAGTGCAATAAGTGCTAGCCTGTCTTTCTTTCCATTTCCCTGTTTTATTTGCATATTTCTTCCTTCACCTCCCTTCCACGAGTAGGCAGTCTGTACAGTATGCTTATTATCCTTTTATTAAAAATCCCCACCACAATGGACTCTATTTCTGGTTTACAGATGGGTGCCATCACTCGTTTTACTGCAATTATGTTTTCTCTAACAAATACCCTTTCCTTGTTTCCTCTTTCTCCCCTCCCTATCTTTATAAATAAATCACACCTAATATGGGCACCTCAGTGGTTAGCACTGCTGCCTCACAGCACCAGGGACCTGGGTTTGATTCCACCCTTAGGTGACTGTCTGTGTGCAGTTTGCACATTCTCCCCTTGTCCGTGTGGGTTTCCTGCCACAGTCCAAAGATATACAGGGCAGGTGGATTGGCCATGCTAAATTGCCCCATCGTGACCAGGGATGTGCAGGCTAGGTGGATTAGCCATGGGAAATGCAGGGTTACAAGGATAGGGTGGTTCTGAGTGGGATGCCCTTCACAGGGTCAGTTGGGACTGAATGGCCTGCTTCCACACTGTAGGGATTCTATTTTTGTAACTGTGTCTCAGTAATCCCTAGTCAGCTTCTTGTAATGTATCATTGCTTCCAGTTTCCCATCCTGTTAAGGACACTGTGTGCACTGCTGCACATAGATGACTTAACTCATTTTAAGAACAGTCTCTTTTGCTTTACTTTTATCTATTTTATATTCATACATTGGAAATGACAGCAAAAGTAGGACATTTAGCCATGCGAACCTGCTTCTGCATTTAACAGGATAATTACTGATCTTGTACCTCAACTCCACCCTCCCTCTCTATCCTTCTATTCCTTAATTCTGATAAATATCCAAAAGCAACTGACCTTGATCTTGAATATTCTCAACTACCAAGCATCTGCAGCTCTCAAAGGTAAAGAATTCCAAAGATTTATAACTCTTTCCATGACAAAGTTTTGTTCTGTCTCAGTCCTAAATGGGCAAACCCATTATTGTGAGACTCTGATCCTTGGTGTAGGCTGCCCAGTCCTGGGTAACATCCCCCCACACCAGCATATACCCTGACAAGTCACTTAGGAATTTTATACGCTCAATGTGATCACCTCTCACTTTCTAAACTCCAGGGAAGGTTGGTCCTGTCTACACAATCTCTTTTCATAGGACAAGTCTCTCAACCCAGGAACTATTTGAGTGAACCTTCACTGCATTCCCCTTGGTGCAAGTATGTTCTTCCTTAGGGAATGAGACCAGAACTTCATCAACTACTCCAAGAGTATCTTCACTATTGCCCTGTATAATTATAGTGAGATTCTTTAGTTTTATACCCCAATCCCTTTGTAACAGAAACTACCAGACAATTTTTCTTCCAAATTGCTTGCTTTAGCTGCATGTTAATATTCAGTGATTCATTTAAAAGGACACTCAAGGTCCTTTGGATACAAATATTTCCAAGTTTCTCACCATCAAAAAAAAGTGCTTTTTTTAAAATTCTTTAAAAAATATTTTTTATTCTCCTGTTCGAAAACGCTTCATTCTGAGACCATTCCCTGGCTTTAGTCTGTCTCCTGCTCTCCTGTTTTGTTTCATTTCTATTGAGCTTTGCTTCAATTTTTGGAGACCCTTTTCCTCCATAATATTGCTTTAAAAAGCTTTACCACCCCAATAATTCCCCTTTCCACTGAGATATTGGGCCAGAGGAAGCCAGTCCCATTGATACAGTTCCTTCTTGACACAATATTGATGCCAGTGTACCATGAAAAGGAATATCTCTTTCCCGCTGCAGCTTTTAGGCACAGCTCTTAAAGGGAAGACTAGAACTAGAGAACATAGTTTCAAAATAACAGGCCTCACATTTAGGAGAGCGATAAGGAGAATTTTTTCTCCCAGTGGGTCGTGAATCTGTGGAGGAGAGTTCCATAGAGAATGGTGGAGGCAGTGCCATTGAATAATTTGGAGGCTGAGTTAGATAGCTTCTTAACTAATGAGCGAGTCAAAGGGTATAGGGGATAGGCAAGAGAATGGAGATTGCCATTCAATCAGATCAACCATGTTCTTATCAAATACACAGCAGGCTCAAGGGACAGAACGGTGTACTTCCACTTCTGTTTAGTTTTTGTTTTATGTTAATTATTTGATCTGTAAGGTTTTGGAGTAGATCTGTAGCTCGGGTTGTGGGTGTTGAGGTTGGTTGGCTCGCCGAGCTGGTTTGTTGTTCCACAGATGTTTCGTTACCATGCTGGGTGATATCATCAGTGCAGCCTCCGATGAAGCGTCGTTGTGTTTTCCCACCTGGATTTTAAACTCTGGGGTCCATTGAGCTGGATTGCCTCACTTCCGGTTTTCCTTTGCAATGGAGTGTATATGGGGTCGAGTTCTACGTGCTTATTAATGGCTTTCTTCGTGGAGTGCCAGGCTTCTAGGAATTTCTAGAATTCGATCCCATATACGCTCCACTGTGAAGGAAAACCCGAAGTGAGGCAATCCAGCTCAATGAACTCCAGAGTTTAAAAACCAGGCGGGAAAACACACCGACGCTTCATCAGAGGCTGCACTGAGGATGTTACCAAGCATGGTAACGAAACGTCTGCGGAACAACAAACCAGCTCGGCGAGCCAACCAACCTCAATATTTGATCTGTTTCCGTTTAGGGTTGACTTCAACAATAATCCAGAGATTTTTGAGATCCGCTTCTTGAACCTAGCTCCCGATTTGGATATTGCCTCGGAAAGTCCTCTCCTGTTCATTCTAATCTACTTGTTTTATCATAGACCACAACAACTGCATCTTCTCCTTCCTTTCCAAATTCCTCTCCAGAAACGGTAGCTCAGTGGTTAGCACAGCTGCCTCACAGCTCCAGGGACCTGGGTTCGATCCCACCCTCGGGTGACTGTCTGTATTCTCCCCGTGTCTGCATGGGTTTCCTCCGGGTGCTCCGGTTTCCTCCCACAGTCCAAACATGCGCAGGCTCGGTGGATTAGCTATGCTAAATTGTCCATAGTGATCAGGGATGTGGAGATTAGGTGGGTTATAGGGGGATGGGACGGTGTGGATTTGTTGGGCCGAAGGGCCTGTTCCCACACTGTAGGGATTCCATGATACATTATTCTATGAAGCCTTGAGATACTACGTGGTCTGGGACTGGGTGGTTAACACCAACTTCAGGACTGAATAATCCAGTGGTTCAAAGCAAATCAGGAGAAGCTGGAGTGGAACAAGGCTTTCATAATTAGTAAACCACTCTGATACCAGCTAGTGTTTGATGATGTACATTGAACAGTGCTTGGGACTTAACATCACTACTTACTTCGTGTGAATGGTAGAAGGCAGCAATTCCCAAAGGCCAGAAGCAGCAGAGCATGGAGAAAACACTGAGGCCCAAATGGTCCCTGGGTGGTATCATCAGAAAATTGTCCTCACTTTCCGTCTCACTCGAGTAATCACTCTGCACAAAATCAAAAGGCAAGTTAATTACACGCCTTTCTTCATTTCATTACAGAATTGCCAGTTGGTAAAAACATCCAGGAACCAGGTAGAGTTGATGAACTGTGATTAAATAACAATGCATTCACTGAGGCTTATAACTTACACTTCAACATCATGCCACATGAGATGAAGGAACTCTCAATATCATCAAGTCTCGGTTAATCACGTCTGATAAACACAAATTTAAATAAATGGAACCCACTAAGGTACCTTGACAACTGCAAGACTGGAGGCTAGACCAGTCCCATAGAATCCCTACAGTGTGGAAGCAGACCATTTGGCCCATCGAGTCCACACTGACCTTCCAAAGAGCATCCCACCCAGACCCACCCCCTTCCGTATCCCTGTAACCTTGCATTTCTCATGGCCAATCCACCTAGCCTGGACACTATGACCAATTTAGCATGGCCAATCCACCTAACCTACACATCTGTAGACTGTGGGAGGAAACCCGTGCAGACACGGGGAGAACATGCAAACTCCACACAGACAGTTGCCCGAGACTGGAATCGAACCCAGCTCACTGGTGCTGTGAGGCAGCAGTGCTAACCACTGTTTTGACTGACATTGAAGTGACTCATAAGAAATATGTTTGCCAATGTTAGATTTTGTTTTTCTAGGGAGGCAAAATTCTTTGCCAATTCAGATAGGTGCTCCACTGATGGATTCAGAAGACAGGTGGGAATAGATTGTCCCATCATGAGACATAGAAAACTGGAAATAAACTCAATTAAGGAGAATAGGGACTATTGTGAATTGTTCTGGATGAGTCATTTCAGATTTGAAGCATTAACCGTTTCTCTCTCCACAGATGCTGCCAGACTCGCTGAGTTTCTCCAACATTCTGTGTTTGATTCAGATTTCTAGCAGTTGCAGTATTTTACTTTAATTTTAGTTGCAAATTGACTGGTTGCTTTGAAATTACCCCACCCTACATTTTTAACAAAAAAATGAACTGCTGCCAATAAAATTTGACTTTTATTTTTCAGATTAATTGTTTTGTTCACGAGTTTTCTTCACCAAATCTGACATGTCCTTTTGGAGGGAGGAACTGAGAGAATAATTGAACAGATCCCAATTGAATGCCTAAGATAAAAATAGAGGAGTGGGGAATCTGTTTAAAAAACACACATATTAGAGCAACCAATTTCATGAACAAGTGAGGATTGGTCATTAAAGGCCAGTTTTGAGATTATTTTCTTCCTCTGGCTTTACTCATGAGATAATTCCACCCATACCCACAACTAACAGGACCAACGTTGTGTATAAAATCCCATTTAAAGTTTTCAAGAAGATTTGTAGCTCTGGTTGTGGATGAGGTTGTAGCCTTGCTTGCTGAGCCGGTGGGTTTGTTTGCAAAAGTTTTGTCACTCTGCCAGGTAACATTGTCGGTGTACCTCTGGTGAAGTGTCAGTGTTCTGTTTTGCTTGTTATTTATACGTCTCGGTTTGCTGGCATGGTTGGTATTACTTCCGATTCTGTTTCTCAGTGGTTTGCACACAGGGTCTAACAAACATGATGAATTAGTACATGAGTACCAACTAGCCACCAAGAGACACGACCAATTCTCACTGGTCTCACTACACACTTAGAACGAGGCACGCGAATTCAACTGGGACAACACGTCCATAATCGCACAAGCCAAACAGACACGCCAGGGAATTCGTGGAGGCCTGGTATTCCAACCGGAACTCCATCAACAAACATATTGAATTAGACCCTGTGTACAAACCACTGAGAAACAGAACTGGAAGTGGTACCAACCACCCCAGCAAACCAAGGCATATAAATAACAAGCGAGACAGAACACCGACACCTCACCAGAGGCGCACTGACAATGCTACCTAGCAGGGTGACGAAACGTTTGCAACCAAACCCACCGGCTCGGCGAGCAAGTCTACAATCTCATAAAACCCCATGTAAGGCCTGCCACAAACACTATATCGGACAGACTGTGAGAAAACTAGCTATCAAGGTACATGAGCACCAACCAGCTACCAAGAGACACGAACAACTATCACTCGTTTCCATACACTCGGACAAAGAAGGCCATCAATTTGACTAAGACAACATAACCATCCTAGGACAAGCCAACCAAAGACACACACTGGATTTACTAGAGGCCTGGTACTCAACCCGGAACTCCATCAGCATGTGGAAGTAGACCCCATATACCAACCACTATGAAGCTGAACTGGAAATGAGGCCAACCACCACATCAGACCGGACAAAATAAATAACAAGTAGGACAGACCAACAATGCTTCATCAGAGGTACACTGATGACGTCTCCTAGTATGGAGATGAAATGTCTGCAAAGCAACCTAACAGCTTGGCGAACAAATCAACAACCTCATAACCTATGCCCGTAAGTCCTCCTAGTTTGATTTGAAATTAACTTTAATATGAGGTATTTTAACCAGTATATAGATTCTAGGATAAGAAGATGTAATATGTTTGGTGATTCACTTCACTTATTAAAAATAAAGACGTGGGATAAAACATTCGTCTTAAACACCTTAACCAGCCAAGCAATGTCACATGCCCTCCCTCTGAGAATTAGTGTTTTTTTTTTAAAAATAAGGACTAGTGAAAATGGCTTTTCAAACTTTATCTCTCCCCAGGATCTCAAAGACAGCAATGGTCTTCCAGTCTTCCCTTCTTTCTAGGTACATAAAACATGCCATCTTTCTTGTGGAATTTTATTATTTTATAATTCTCTTCTGGTTGGTTGAAATCCTCTCTCATATTTTACCATTACTCGTTGCTTGAAGGAATTATCAAACAGAGTTAAGACGCTCCATGACAGAATGTTTCTTGTTAACAAATGCAGCTGCTACAGCTGATGGTCACAGAATGAAGGAACAATTTGGTGCTGCTAGGATACAGGGCAATGATGTGGATGACTTGCTATCAATGGTCACCCATCAGCTGGGCATGGAAACCCTTTCAGTTCCATTATTGGGCAGAGTTGACATGCGCTGCCCAGAAAATGCATGCATAAGGTGAGTTTCACCCTATAATCCTAGTGGAGCCATAGATCACTATGCTGGAGCCGCTTTAGCAAAGAGAATGAAATGTAGTTATTTCACAAAGAACGCACAATACCAGTGACCTCTCTTACCTAACAGCAGAAGGAGACTGTGAGATGCTGTAAATATCTCCAGTTCCAACTGGAAAGCAAGACACAAAGTTGATGGGCACAGTCACTTTCACTGGCATTGCTGCCCACGTCTTTCTCTGATGTTCCTATTGTGGCTATTGAGAACCTCCTAAAGTAGGATGGAAACCCCAGCACAAACATGTTCATCTGCAGAGACCTCTTCTCCACCTCCTCCTCCTTTCCCTTACATTAGCTTGCCCCCTTTTCTGTGCAGCATCTGTTCATTCTCCCAGCCACCCTCTATTCCCAAGGGGAATGGTAACAAGTGAACTCATGCCTGGGAACAACTGGCTTATTTAGAAGGCATGGAGTTAGCACAAATTCATTCAACATGAACCAAACTATGCCACTCTTAATCTTTTGCAACTTTAAACTATAGAAAGCTCAAAATATTTGTAGAATTGAAGTAAAGCCAGAGAAAAAAAAAAATTACTTAGTGTCTAACCTGTGATAATCCCCAATTTGGGCTGCAAAAGAGGGGTGAGGTTGCCTTACTTCTGTGTGTTAAGATGTGCGAATTTAAGCTTGAGGATGAGATTCACTGCTGGAGTCACATCAGTGTTTCCTGTTGATTAATGCCATGATCTGCCTGCCCTATGTATTCACCCAGCCTTTCACTTCTTACATTGACATCGTGTCAATGTGATGTGCAGCAAGACTCACTCCAAAAGAATGTGGGTGGACCATCAGCCACCTTTCTGATCCTCAAATAACAACCATGACAATAACAATCCTAGTGGTTTCATTGCAGGTGCGGTGTTTTCAGAGCCCTTGCAATTTCCTTGGAATTGCTGTTGGCTGTGGAAGGCCTCTAAAGGTGACATAGTTCATGTTGGGTCAGTAGGGTTGCGAAATATGTCAGAAGCTTGTCTGGATTTTGGATCCTATTTTGCAGGTAAAGTTAAAAGGTGCTGACAACTTAACATTTCATAATTAAATGCTGTTGAATAATTTAAGTGCGTTTTTATTACTGTGATTGATCATAGGCATTCATTCGTACAAATGTAAGTGGCCATAAAATTGACCAGCAATTTGAAGGCATTCAGATGCTTTAGAGTGCTTTATCCAATGGACAAACGTTCTTCTGCATTGAGCAATGTCATGGTAATGATTTTAATGCATCAGTTGAACCAAGTGCTCTTTTTTCTCTTTCATTGACAGGCCAGCCATCTGTTCAGCCTTTGGTCAGTGGAACAGATTGCCAAGCTCTTTGATTGACAACTCAGTCATCTATTTAACATTTGAAATGTGAAATTTGTAGGGATCTGTTCCAATGCATGAAAGTCTTTTATATATTCAGATCTTGGGTGCTTTGGTGACCAGGCTATGAAATCTCATTATGAGTGCTTGGCTGAGCTTCAAGTCCAATGAGGGGGCAAAATTTATTTCAGGCTAGACGGTTAGTGAGAACGCCATTTTCCTTTCTTTGGGGAAGAATTGTATATTAAATGTCAGACTGACACTTAAATGACTCATGACAAGCCTTCATAGATGATAGGGGCAAGAGATCAGAGGAGAGGTGATGGCCTAGTGGTTTCATCACTAGACTATTAATCCAGAGACCCAGGTAACAATCCAGGGACCTGGTTTTGAATCCTGCCATGGCAGATGGTGGATTTTGAACTCAATTAAAAAAATCCAGAATTAAGATCTAATGATGACCATGAAACCATTATTGATTATTGGGGAATAAAACCCCATCTGGTTCGCTAATATCCTTTAGGGAAGGAAACTGCCATCCTTACCTGATCTGGCCTACATGTGACTCCAGACCCACAGCAATGTGGTTGACTCTTC